CTTGGTATTACAACTTGCATGTGGTGTTTTGATCCATCAGCTGATTCCCATTTTCGTTTCAGCAAATCCCCTTCCAAATACAATGAGTCCCACTGAGCCCAATAACCCTTTAACACAGCACTATATTCTGAGATGCTTTGCCAGTCCGGTCGCTTGCCCTCCTTCTTCCATGTGATCAGATGTTGTAGGTCCTCTTCCGCAAACTGTGCATCAGTAAGATCCGTCGGTGTCCAACCGTCATCCGCTGATATTGTTGTTGCTCTTATGTCTTCCGATTGTATCTTCTCCTCGTGACGACAGCAATATTTGCATCCTGGTAAACATGGTCGACGTGAGAGAGCATCAGCATTACTATGAGTTGTTCCTTTGCGGTGCACGATCTCGAAGTCGTACATTTGTAAACGCTCCAACCATCGGGCCATCTTTCCTTCAAGATCCTTGAAGTTGAGGAACCATCTTAACGCTGAATGATCAGTTCTGAGAAGAAATTTCTGTCCATAAAGGTACTTGTGGAAGTGTTTTGTTGCATTGACTATTGCTAGTAACTCCTTCCTGGTCACACAATAGTTTCGTTCGGGCTTTGTGAATCCTCTGCTATAATACGCTAGCACCTTTTCTTCTCCGTCTATATGCTGTGACAAAACGGCTCCGATTCCGTTGTTACTTGCATCAGTATCTAACACAAACGTCTTGCCACGAACTGGATATGCTAGCAAAGGAGCATCACATAGTTCAACTTTTAACTTTTCAAATGCTGAGTCGCATAGGGTATTCCAGTTGAAAACTCGGTCCTTCTCGGTAAGTTGTTGGAGAGGTCTGGCAACTTTTGCAAAATCCTTTACAAAACGTCGATAGTACGTTGCCAATCCCAGAAAACTGCGCAATTCATTTTTATCCTTTGGAGTTGGCCAGTCTTTCACAATTTCTATTTATGTCTAGAATTGCATTAGCTTTGTTAATTGATTCATATATTTGAGTTGTAAGTTTTAATTTACTATCAAATGAAACACTCAAATCTCGTACTTCGTCCTTGCTTTCTAAGTATTTATTTTGAATACTGTAACCCATGCCCAAATCTATGTTACCCCCTAGTCTCATAACAACACACTTATCTATGTTAATACTAACCTACAAACATTACACCAATCAACAATTCTGCCTAAACATTTCTGCAAGCTAATCACATCCCCTTCTTTCTTTATGGGTTTAAACACTTTAGCATCATCTGCATAAAGACAGAACAAAAATACAATTATTTATAAAGATCACTGCGTTTTCGGCATTATTTTCAATTTTTCTAACGAGACTTTTATCATCTTGATGAAGTTTATTAAGGTTAAATAAAAAACTTTTAATATTTGACATTTTTGACGAAACATTATTAATAACGTTATTACTACAGAAAAGCTCTTTTCAGCATCAACAGTGTAGTTATATAGTATTGTTCCGTTTTCACAGCGACTTTGATTGTAACTTAATTAGAATTAAAGTTAATCATGTGTTTCTTTGTTGGAAGAATATTGGTATTATTTAGTTAAATATTTATTGCTGGCTTACGTTTATCGCTATCCTCAATTTATTCTATCTTCAATGTATTCTCTGTTAAAATAAATTGCTTTGGTGTAAATGAATAATGAACAAAGTAGCCATTTGATTTATTTATTCACATGTAAAATTGGTGAGTGTGTGCATCTAAATTCTGAATACATCGGAATGACTACAACAACATTAACGAGAAGACTCACAATACATAAGCAAAATGGAGCAATAAAAGACCACCTAATGGAACAACACAACACTATTATATTAAGAGAAATTTTAGACAATAACACCAAAGCAATTTATTACAACAGAGAATACTTCAAATTGAAGGTACAGAATCAATTTTCATCCATAAACGTAAATTCATTCGATTCTTCATAAATCATCTTCAGTGCAGGTTGGTTTATATAGTTTCTTTAAACAGAACAAAGTTCATTAAACAGAAAAAGGTTCTTTAACAAAGTTCGTTGGTAAAGTTAATAGTTGGTCTCGTATTCTTCATTCTTGTTGTTGTCATTTCTATGTTCTTCCTTGTTATTGAAGTTAGTAATCAGGCGTCGAATTGGTAGTGATGTTATCATTCTTTGTTGGATGTTTATTTTGGGTTTGGTTTATATTATATTGTCGCAAAAAACACTACAGTTTATTTTTTATGTAACTATATATAGTTAACAATTAAACTTTTTTATGTATGCTACTCAAAATTATAGTTCGGCATTATTGCGACCCCTGGTCGCACATTATATTATCGGCTGCTAAATTCTATATATTGTTGATTTCCCATATATGTATATATTTTATATATATGGGTAAACAATATCATTTTTATTTTAACATAATTTAGTTTATCAAACAATTAGGAAAACTATATTTAAGCCATTAATTTATAAAAGATAACAAATGCAATAACAATAATTGTAATAACAAGGACAAAATTTTATAGAAAAAATAAGTTGAATTGAACAATATCGTATTAAATTACATGCAGAAACTATACATAATCACACTGGATTCATGAAGTTGCACAAAAAAATTTAGATCAGCTCTATTGATATAGCATTGGAAGATCAGAAAGCATAAAAAATAGATGATAACGTATAACCATTGATTATGATTATAACAATAGTGCATGCAGGTAAACATTCAAATTCAAAGTACTACAATACAATTTCTATATCTAATCTCTATACAATGCAAAATCTTTGTATCTCCATTACTAATTCAAACTTTATTTCTATATAAATTTAAGATTATATTTTTAGTTAATGTTAAATAACTATCCTAGTATAATAGTACTAATAAATAACCACCAGAACAATTAGTAGAGGTATAAATTTAATTTATTGACTCGAATTAACTTTTAATTGTAATTGTACCAGAAGAAAGAAAATATTATATCTCTTTTTCAAAGTTTAAATGTTTTTTAAAGTTAATTAAATTAATCTTAAATTAAATTAAAATTCAACGAGGTATTTAAAACTCTTAATCTTAAAATATAAAAAGTAAAAACTGAAAAATAACAAATGCTTGGAAATCCCGACCTGATCCTCGGTTTTACTGGATTTCCCTCTTAACATTTTAAAAATAATAATCAAAAAGTTTTACTAAACTTTTTTAAACATTAAAATAAAAAACACTTACCCCACCACTCGATGTGTAAAACGATGCCATACCAATCAGTTTCGACGCGGTGCGAAAACTACGATAATTACGACAACTACGACGAAAATATGCTGCCTCCAAGACGAACAAAAGATCTTTAATATAAAATTAATTTAGCTGAAGCCGCAGTTTTTATAGTCTTATAGTTTATTATTAATTTTATTTTTTTAAGACTATTAATTTTGACTAAATTTTAATTATTTTATTTCATGGACTTGCATAATATTTTCACATATTTAGTGTTTTTTTTCTGGTGTCATATGACCGTAACAGAAATCCTTATGGTTGACAAGCCTACCTTTGGTTTGCATATGTTTGGCGATCAGTTATTAAATATTTTGTTTGATTATTAAGTTTTAGCTAATTGATGCTATATTTTTTAATACATTTTTCAATGGCATTTTTTCGTCTTTGAGACGATGGCGCAGCCCAAGCTCTGCATACTCTCATGTGGCTAACCAAGCCAATCCGTGCATGACAGTTATTTCCACACAGCTGGCAAACAAATTTTGACATTAAGCAAAAACACTAAATAACAGAAGATTTTTTAGGTATTTTTGAGCCTTTTTGTCACTCTCACGGGTTGATCCTATCTCCTCGGCTGCTAGTGTTCCTTGTTTCACTAAAATTCTCGGCTCCTCTGTCTGACGCCAAACCCTTCCAAGCTTTCCAGTCTATTTTGAACGTGGTCATCGTATTTTGCAAAAGTATTTGTAACAAAATATAGGACGGGTTTCATTATCCAATTCACCAAATTAAATTTTTGAGACATTATCTGTGGTCATTCTTCTTTTACTCGGCAGTAATTGGAGACTGGTAAAGTTTGCTGCAATATTTTGTTGTTTGCAACTTTTCTTGCCATTAAAACCTGGAATGAAAAGCCTTCAGTTTTGTTTCCTGTCTGGCGGATGTTTACCAGGTTTCACTACAGTAATAGAAAGTACACAACACACATGCTTCGTCAACATGCATTTTTGTCAACATACATTTGGGGGTTATTCCAAACTATGTTGTTGAGCCTGGGCGTAACTGCCACTGCTTTTTTTATCCTGCCGTTGATTTCGCTTTTAACGGAGACCAATCTGAAAGTTATCCATCCGAGGTAAGTATAGGTACTAAGAACTCGAAGCTTTGATTTTCAAACTGCTAAATTTGCTGGCGCCTCTGTACCTTACATTTGATTTTGAGACTGACGGTCAGTCCAAACTTTTTACAGGCATGAGCGAATTTGTCAACGAGCAGCTGGTATTTAACATCCGTGTGCAAAACCAGAAGCGGCGTCAGCAAACAGCAGTTTTCTAAATATTATTTTTCATTTTTGTTTTTGACGTAGACCCGCTATGTTGAACAGTCTGCAAGCAGGTCTTGTTTTCACGTCAACGCCTTCTCCATAATCTCTGAAAGCGTATCAAAAAAGCACTAAAAAAAATTATGAAAAAGAGAGCGCAAAGACACAACCTTGTTTAACAACATTAGTCACTCACCGGGAGCATTTCCGAACATGAATTTTTTGAACAAGATTGTATCTTTCATGTTTTTGTGGAAGACAATAACTAAATTCAGCAGACGTCTAGAGCATTCTATTTTTTTTAAATCCTGAAAAGACTTCTTTGCTGGCACAGTCAAATTGATTAATGCAATAAACTTAAGTTTCTGTTGTCCTTGGGCCTCATCATGATATTGACAAAGGGAAAACATTATATCCGTAATCGATCTCTCAAATGTAACCCCAAACTGAAATTCAGAGTATGAGATGCAAGAATGTACAGACAAACAACGACAACACGAGCAAGCCTCTACTCAACGATGCAAAGTACAAAAATATCTCTGTAATTGTTGTAATCACAGCAATCTCCTTTGTTTTTAAACAAAGTTACAATGTTTTCATCACACATGTTGCTGTCCAACATCTGGTAGAAACAATCTTTTTCCTTAGATGTTAAACAAAGCATTGGGGCATATGCACTGATAATTTTGACTATGACGGAGGTAGTGGATGAATGCAGAAACAGTACCGTTTTAAACTGTCAGTTAGAGGCTCAATAAATGCAAAAAAAACTATTCTTGACTGCAAAGCCGACTCTATGAATTTTCTACTTTTCCTTGCTTTTACCTTGCCAGATGGCAATTTTTCTTGTATTGTATAACAGCTGCAGCTCGGTGGAGAGATTGGAGCATGAAGTTCTGACGTTCCAACTGGAAAACCTGATAGTTGATGATTTTGATTTTTCTTTTTTGGTAAGGCGATTTAACGACCAACATTCCTAGCTGATGCTCTAAAACCACGCACCCAGTGTAATAACTCAGCCATGGTGGGACAACACCATATTGACTAAGGGCTGCCACTATGAGTGGGCGGTAGCTGTTCGGTAATATGCAAAAATCTCTCCCACTGACGGAAGTGACCCCTGCGTTCAATGTCCCACACCACATCGGATGAACTTATAATCGGTTAACTGCCACATCCTGTGTTAAGCCACCTTCACGGGCGAAAGAAGCTGGAGTGTCCACTGTCCACTTCAGTTTGAGCTGTGAGACCTGAACAGGCTCAGGTAGATTGGCTGTTTTCCATGCGGCAAATCCATTTTCTCCACACAGCAGAAATGGACAAGGAAACGACAGGCGCCTGGCTTCTGCTGTGCCGCAGAAGTAGTAAAAAATTATGTATATGTTATTTCTCATGATGTATGGGTCACAAAAATCTGAAGTTCGATCACGTGACTCCAATCTTGAATGGCCTACACTGGCTAAAAATTGAAAAAAAAATAATTTTCAAAATTGCTGTCTTAACGTTTCGGTCATTACATGGTTCAGCACCACAGTATTTGGTAGACATGTTTATCAGAAAAACATCTGTGTTGGGTTCACAGTTGAGATCAAATGACATGAATTTCCTGGTTGTGTCGACAACGAATTTACAGACCGGATCACGCAATATTGCTGTTGCTGGACCAGTGGTTTGGAACAGTCTACCGGCGTTTCTAAGAACAGTTTTTGTTTAAAAAGGAGCTGAAAACTCATCTATTTTCGCGGAATAAACAATGTCCTTGTCTTCGTTTGATTAACGTTTTGTTTGTTCATTTATTTTAGGGAGCGCTTTTGAAATCTTTTTTTTAATTAGCGTTGTACAAATTGACTTGTAACAATAATACATACATACATACATACACATGCAGTGCAACATATTTGTAAACGTTAGAAACTTTTGTATCGGCAATGTTTACAACATCATCTGATAAGAGGTTCAAATTGCAACATTTGAAAATTAGACTTGGTTTGTAAAAACAGTTCGTTCGGTTCGTATCCAGCACCCTCAAAGTTCGGTTTGGTCACAAGCAAAGTTCGTTTCAAGTAGAGCTCAAGTTTGGTTCGTTCGGGTTCGGTTGATTCTCATCCCTATTAATTATTCACTCACCACATGGTTTTAGCAAGTGCGTATAGCACGTGTGAAAAGGTAATTAACCAACTCGGATAAACGCGTGCTTTAGAATGCTTGAAAATTGACATTTTTAATAGAGAATACTAAAACTACTAAAATTTTTTAAAATTTCGTAACTTTTGATTGTGGTACAGAAACTGAAAAACAAATATTTAAGATTTAAATATCAGTAAAAAAATAAGATTAAAAAATATAGAAAATAGGAAAATGGCCAAATCACGGCCCACAAAAATTACGGACCCTAAAGAGACAATTGATTAATTCAGAATGTCGAAGTCTATCAGACCCGGAGTCGGAATTTTTTGAGAAGCCGGAGACGAAGATTTTTTCAACAGACTCCGACGCCATAAAGCGTTATGAATTTAAAAAACTTTTATTTTGAAATTTTTCTTAAATTGTTTTTTTTAGAAGATTAATATGTAGCGATATGCAATAGGGTGGAGCGAATTTATACATAAAAAAATTTTTTTCTTTTTTTTACTTTTCCTGGGGTTGGGAAATATGTCTTTTATCGAGTTATTTCAATGTGTAAATTTTGAATTTTATTGAACATTGTTTTGAGGTTCCTCTCGGCTGGAGACTGTTTATGAATTGCATTTCAAAAGTAAACAAAACAATATCATCAAATTAAACATGTTATTAACTCAAATAAATCATTTAAATCTTGAAAAACAAAACATTAGTGTTTACTAGTTCACATCAAAGACTTAAATAATGAAGTGTTTTTTAGTTTCAAATTTTGGTATATCATTTTGAGATGCAAGTTTAGTACGAATAAAGCCATCTCTTGCTTTTTCTCCACAAACTGAAAGTGACGCTTCTGTAACTAATTTTATCATTCTTTCTACTGCCTGAGTATGGCAAGGCAACTTCAAAAATTCAATGTTATTAGGAATATCCATTATCATCTGTTCTAAAGCTTCAGTTGTGATATCTTTTGTAAGGGGTGGCTCTGTGATCTCGGTTGCATGCCAATCGATCATGTCGTAATAGTTGATCGCATCAAAGTTTAGCTTTGGAACTTTGAAAACTCGAACAGTATTTAGAGTGGCATCATTAGCTCTGCATTTTAATATCCGCCTTAAAGCTAATTCCCTTATGTGCTTTTGT